CCTGTGGTGATCCCAGATGTTCAGACTGATGGAGACCAACAGGATCAATGATGGAACTAAAGGTTCATCAACTGAATCCTGCCTTTAAGAGACTGAATACTTATTCAATCACTGTTTTACTTTCTATGTTCTTAATCATTTGACTTGACTTCATGGTCTTCGTAGACCCCCTGCCTCATGTGTTCAGGAGGAATCCACGCCCAGACCGTCCAACAATGTCAGTGTCACGGTTTGCTGTTTAACACGGTTTCAAAAGACAAAACAATGGGGGGAAAAGGGAGGCGCAGGCACAGAAATAAAGCCGGCAGCGATCCTAAAAAGCACGAGGCTGCGTCCGACCTGCTGCAGTCACGCTCAGAAGGATGCATGAACTCAGAGTTTCTTTGGAGGATTTTCTCAACATCTAGTTTGTGCTGCATTTCCATAGAAAACTAGTGCATGTGAATGTCAAGCACAGTAAATAAAGTACCTGCTAAAGACATGAAATGCACTAAAACTACAATATTGGATCAATAAAGTCCTGGTATACATCATCCGTAGATCTGACATCCTCACTGTGCTGTAGAGCTGAAAGCCAATCGCAGAAGATCCACAGTGTTGCTTTAGTTTCCCACAGATTTAGGTTCAGGTCTGAAGACCTTTCTTGGCAGCTTTTTGCTTCCTCCAACCCAACAGAACTAAACGAGGTCCTGCCGACCCGGTGCTGGTGCTGATCCGAGCCTGGAGCCGGTCCGCAGCAATCAGCGGAGGTGTTTGAGGGCGTCAGTGAGGCCGGTGTTGACAGAGCAGAAGGGCAGCGTCTGGAAACACTGCGTAGGTGACGTGTTGTTGACGTGGAGGCTAAGAGACGGAGCAACGCTGATTGATTAGGAGGGAAACGTGGAACAGACAGCGATCAGTGGAAAAGGTTGACGGGTCCGTTTGAGTCATGGAGTCTGGGCCGGCTTGTTTGACGTCCAGATGTTGTGAGGAGTTCTGTGGGGATGTGCTTCATGTTGCCTGATTATATCGAGAACACCATCCACGTTATTGTTATGCTGCTTTATGCTTCGTCTGAAGACACGAAACCAAGTAAATGTCCGTTTTATGTTCAAGTTAAGAAGTAAATAGTAGAAAGCCAACAGGTCCGAGTGTCACCGGATACTCCATGGTTCACTGTGATGAGAAAAAAATGAACAAAAAGTTGTTTTGTTTGTCTTTTAAAAACCAAAAACAGAAAAAACAATAAAAAACGTTTATTTTTTTGACATCTGAAGTCACACGGCTTTTCTGCTTGAAAAAGAATTAAAAAAAAACTTTAAATCACAAAACAAAAAAACGTGTTTATTTTGTGTTCGAATGCAAAATTATAGTATCACAAAATAGATCAATAGATTGATTGATAAACGAGATCAAACGTGGCCACATAAAGTTCTTTTTTTTTTCTTTTTCTTGCTCTTTTCATTTAGAAAGAAGAAATTTGCAAAACACTAAATCTGAGCATTTTTTTGAATTTGGTTTTCTCGTTTCTGTTTGGACGGAGAAAACAGATCAATAGAGGATACGACTTTGTTTTCAGTTCATTTAAAAACTACAAAACGACTGTGATTCCAAATTAAACCAAGAATGGCCACAAAACCAAAGATGATCCATCCATCCAT